TCCCATGTGGCGTCAAAAGTAGGCAGGTCTTTCCATTTGATGAGTACCTCAGTGGAGCCACCTAACAGCTTCTGTACATCCAACACAGCCTCGGGTTGAACCTGAAGTTCCAGGTCTTCTGTGAGACCAGATGGTAGGGGCTGTACAGGGACTGAACTATGGAGGCAGAGCTTCAATTGGGATACGTGAAAAACGGGATGAATACGTGCTGATGTGGGTAACTCTAACTTGTATGCCACCTGTCCAATCTTTTCGATCACTTGGAAGGGTCCATAGAACCGGGGGCTCAATTTTTCATTCAATCGAGTGGCTAGAGATTTAAATTTGTATGGCTGAAGCTTGAGATAAACAAAATCTCCTGGGGAAAACTGGATGTCTCTTCGGTGGCTGTCAGCTTGGTTTTTCATATGAGCTTGTGCGACTTCCAGGTTATGTTTAAGGTCTTGAAGAAGGGCATTGCGTTCTTTGATCTGCTGGTTTACTTCCTCGACCGCAGATGGGTAATCGGAGAATTTAAGGAGAGTCGGAGGGTCTCGACCGTATAGTGCTTTAAAGGGTGTCATCTTAGTAGAGCGATGATAAGTCGTATTGTACCAAAACTCAGCCCATGATAACCAATTGGGCCATTGACGGGGCTGTGAGCTGCAGAAACAGCGGAGGTAAGTCTCCAGACACCAGTTCACCACTTCGCTTTGGCCATACGTTTGGGGATGGTAAGCCGAACTGAATTTCAGAGTTGTACCTGAGATTTTGAAAATTTCCTGCCAAAATTGACTCATAAACAATCTGTCCCTGTCTGAGATGATGGTTAGAGGGAACCCATGAAGCTTAACTATTTCCTTGATGAAGACTAAGGCTACCTCTTTGGCTATGTAAGGATGTGACAGCAGTATGAAATGGCTGTATTTAGTCAGACGGTCCACTACAACCAATATGGTGTCAAACCCTTTCGTTCTTGGGAGGCCTCCTATGAAATCCATTATCAAATCATCAAATGCCTGAGCTGGAATCGGAAGTGGTTGAAGTAGCCCTGCGGGTTTCAAGGCTGAATGTTTATTAACTTGGCAGATGGTGCATTTTTTGACGAAGTCCTGGACATCTGTCTTCATACCTGCCCAGTAGACCACATTGGACACCCTTTTGTATGTTCGGAAAAACCCCGAATGGCCTCCTGATGGACTGGAATGAAATTCAGTCAGTAGCTTCTGAACAAAACGAGAACCTCTAGGTAATACTAACCTGTCTTTGTACATGAGACACCCATGGTGGAGTTTATAATTTGGTCGGCTGTTAGAGTCCAAAACCAAGGCTTGAATCAACTGCCGCAGCTTGGGGTCCTGGTGGGCTTCGTTGGCTAAGTCCTCATACTCCAAAAACTGAATTTTTGATAAGGACGATAATTCTTGGTTCTTGTCTCGCCTAGATAGTGCATCCGCTACCTTATTTGTGGCGCCGGGTAAATAATGAATGTCAAAGGAATACCCCATTAACTTGGACAACCATTTCTGCTGTTCCGGTGTTTTAATCCGCTGATCCTTGAGGAATTGAAGGCTTCGCTGGTCTGTTCGGATGATAAACTTCCTGCCCAATAGATACGGACTCCATTTGTGCACAGCGAAAACCACCGCCATAAGTTCTCTTTCATAAACTGATTTTTGTTTAGCTTGAGGGGAGAATGCTTTACTTAGGTAGGCTATGGGTCGCTTATGTTGTACCAGAACAGCTCCCATACCTTGGCCTGAAGCATCCGTCTGGATCTCGAATGGAAGGCTGAAATCTGGGGCTGCCAACACTGGAACTGAGGTCATAGCTTTCTTTAAGGCGTGAAAAGCCTGCTGAGCTTCTTGATCCCAATTAAAACCATTTTTCTTCAAGAGTCGTGTGAGGGGTTGGGCTATGCTGCCATATCCTTTAACAAACCTGCGATAATATCCCGTTAAACCCAAGAAGCCGCGGAGACTTTTAACATTGGTGGGTGCAGGCCAGGAAACCATGGCTGCTATTTTTTGTGGGTCGGCTTCCACCCCTTGTGCTGAAATTAGGTGCCCCAGGTATTCCAGTCTAGGCTGTCCAAATGAGCATTTTTTCCAATTTACCACCAGACCATTGTCACCCAAGATTTGAAGAACTTGTCGAAGGTGTTGAAGGTGAGTCTCCAAGTTACTACTGTATATCAGGATATCGTCAAAGAAAACCAATACAAACTTACGCAGAACCTGTCTGAAAATGTTGTTCATAAGTGACTGAAATGTTGAGGGAGCGTTGGTCAACCCGAAGGGCATTACCAAGAACTCGTAATGGCCTTCATGCGTTCGGAAGGCTGTTTTGGGGATGTCTTCGTCCTTGATCCTAATTTGATGGTATCCGGATTGGAGATCCAGTTTAGAGAAGATTGTTGCACCGGCCAGTTCGTCCAACAGTTCCTCGATGGTCGGAATGGGAAACTTGTCGGGAACTGTTATCTCATTGAGGGCCCTATAATCCACACAAAACCTCCAGCTCCCATCTTTTTTTTTGACTAACAATACCGGGCTGGCAAACGGACTGGTGCTTGGTTGGATGATACGGGCTGCCAACATTTCCTCAACTAACTTCTCAATTTCATTTTTTTGGAAATATGGGTACCTATATGGTCTAAGGTTGGGTGTTTGGGCTCCTTCCTTAAGGTTTATGGCATGGTCCTGGGAACGGTGTGGAGGAAGTTTAGAGGGCTGGTCGAAGAGATGCCGATATTCATCCAAAAGGGCCTGAACTTGCGGGTTGATGTCTTCGTCTATGTGGCTTGACGTTTCTTCGATTGTACAACACTCTACCAGAATCCCTCCTCCTGAACTGTTGATGGAGCGTAGCATTGATTTCAAGGATACCCTGGACTTAACCAGAGATGGGTCCCCTTGCAAACTGACCCTAACCCCTTCCAATTCAAATCTCATAGTCAATTTCTTCCAATTGGCGCACACGTCCCCTAAGGAACTCAGCCACGTGATCCCCAAAATCACATCGGCCCCCCCCAATTGGAAGGGAAAGAAATCCTGTTTAATCTGTACCCCTTGCACGTTCAGCTGAATCTGTCGGCACACCCCTTCCCCTTTAACTGTTACTCCATTCCCAATCATCACCCCAAATCGCTTCCCTTTTTCCACTGTAAGCCCCAACCTCTCAACCAGATCCTGTGAAATAAAGTTGTGGGATGCCCTACTATCAACCAGCACCACCACCTCACTCTTACCAATCTGTCCTTTGACCTTCAAGGTATGATCTGACGTGAGGCCCACTATCGAGTTCATAGACAGCGCGACATCGTCACCCTCTGGGCTAGGAAAATCATCGTTCTCCAGTGGTTTTTCGGCCTTTTCATCACTGTCATCTTCCAAGGCTAAAAGAATCTGCAGGGACTTACTTCGACAGCGGTGATTCGGACCGAATTTTTCGTCACATTTAAAGCAGAGGCCCTTTTCACGTTTACTCTGGAGCTCAGCCTCAGTCAGCCGCCGGAAACCGCCACTCGATCCTGCTCGGAAACTCGTCGTGCCTAGTTCTGGTGCTCTTTCGCGTCTATCGGGTGCTCGTGAATCGCGGGATGACGCGATCTGGGTTGTTTCAGTGGGTTTTGTCGCGTTGGGCCACCAGACGGGTCGGGTTGAGTCCGATTGAGAAACCAGCTTGGTTGGGTTGGGCCACCATGTCTGACGAGTTGGGTCTGGGCTGTTGGATACCCTTGAATAAGTTTCCCTAGTGCCTTGGGCCCTAAATGTTTTGGGCCTCCACTTGTCCATCACCCAATTTTTTTCTTCCACCCTGTGGGCCTGTTCAATGACCTCTTGAAGTGAATTAGGCCCTAACACTCTCAACTCAGCTCTAATGTCTTCCCTAAGCCCATTTATGAAGACCCCCATTAACAATTCTTCTCCCAAATCCTTCAACGGAGCTGTAAGGGCTTCGAAATCTTCCCTATATTCAGTCACGGTGGAGCTTTGTTTCAGTGCCACTAAAGCCTCGTGTGCAGACCCTTGAAACGATGGTCTGAATCTTGCGATTAGAGCCGCCTTGAGCTCTTCCCAGGTCTTGAAAGGATCTCGTCCTTCTACCCACTGGTACCAATTAAGTGCCCTGCCCTCCATGCAAACAGCCGCGGCCTCCACCATCTCCGATGGTCCATATTTGTTGATAGCAAAGTATCGGTCGGCGCGAAAAGTCCATCCAAAGGGGTCCTCCCCACTGAAAATTGGAAGCTCCAGCTTCCTGGATTTCCTTTCCCCTTTCCCACTATCCCCTACTGTGTCTTGTCCATGCTCCCCACCATCTCCTGAATCTGCATTTCCGGAAGATGACTGGTGCTTCTCTTTTTCCTGGTCACGTTTCTCCTCCTTCTCCTCTCTCAACCTCAATAACTCTCTCATCTCGGTAAAGTACTCCTTAAGACTCCCCACATCAGTTTTGATTGAACTCATATCTTCTTGAACTGATTTCATCTCTTTTTCCATATTATCCATCCTATTATCCATTTTTGATTTTACCATTCCCCAGTGCTAAATCTGATGGTAACACAGCTCTGATACCAATTTGATGGAACTCCCTGCAAAAGAGAACCACGACAATGCACACACAGCACACAACACAGGATTTGCACAAAAGAAGAAAAAGAAAGTTTATATTAATGGAAGCTCAGATAGAAAATAAAACAGCACCACTACAAAGAAAGAAAGATCACAAATTCCCAGCAATTCGAGGAGCTGGGGACCTCCAGAACCAGCCAATGATTAGTATTTTCCAGATACCTCCCTCCTAACTTTCCTCTTCTTAAATAGACCATTCTTTAACAAACTGTCAGCCAGGTGTCCTTTTCAATAACAAACTCCCCCTGTACGTGTCCCTTTCCATAACAGAATTACTCTACCTAATCTCCCTCCTTACCCACGTCAGCATCTTCTACTGGACCCTTGCTTATTGTACTCTTGCCCTTCTTCCTTCCCCTGCCCCTGAACTCATAGACCTTACGTATGGGGGGTCTAACAGTTACTAGTCTGCATGGGGAAATGATACTTGTTGCTAATTCGCAGTCAGAAAAATTTGGAATTTTTCAGAATTGTAAAATAATCATTTTATCCAAAAACTTAAGCTATCAAGTAGGGCTTCAACTTTAACATTTAAGTCTAATAGATCTTCTCATGCGCACCAAAACAGATAACATACTTAGGAGTCAAGCCCATAAATTAGAACATATAATAGAAGGGTCAAACCAACCTCCAATATAGATTATTAACATGTCAGAATATTGTTACTTAATCTTTTGATTTAAAATTTGAGACCATTAATCTAATTTAATCTAATGGTTGAAAGAGTTACTTAGTTAGCATCAATAGCTTCTTTTTAACTTCCCTTTCCCAACTATTGAATTGGATTAGATGGATGGTTATTAAATGATGTCCAAAATTTCAAGTTATAGTCATCAAAATCATTAGATGCACATGAATCAGGATACTATATTTTCTGTTTTGCTAGCGGCTATAAGCGAACAATTTAAAAAGAATTACAAAATTTAAAATGTCGATGAACATGAACATGAACATGAACATGAACAGTCTTTGGTATTTAGTCAAGCCTTACTCCTGTTGTCAGATTTGCTGGTAAGCTGGTAGGTCGTTACTATGATAGTCAAGGAAATCCCACAAAATATTTGAAAGGAGCTGAAGCTAAGGCTAAGAGAGGTGCTCAACTTTTGGAGAAACAGAAGGCTGAAGAAGCCAAACAACCAGGTTGCAATTCAAGATGGAGTCAGGACGAGGGTGGAGAGGTATAATTTAAAAGAACTTGGAGCATCATTGAGTTGCAGTTTTCACAATTTTTTATTTGTAGAAAGCTCCTGTACTCTTTAGTCTCCATCTTGGCATGATCTATATTCTATAGCGAAGCTATTCCTGACCATTTAAATTGGAATTGTAATGTCAATTGAATGAAATTGTCTGTTTGATTTTGCCAGGTCTGGTGTGAAAGCGGCGTCCCGAGGTTAGTTCAGAGACCTATAGAAATTGCTTTGACAGGAAAGATGAGTAAGCGATGTGCTTGTTTTGAAGTAGATCAGCTGGATCAGCCAGGACTGGAAGTCTACGAAGGATGTGATTATCTTGCCAAGACGTGCCGAGTTTAAATTAAGACACAGGTAGGATTCTTGTACTCTAGATCTTAACTTTCCCAGATGATTATATACATATATCAGAAAATTGGGAGAGAGGAAATTGACAGAAGTGATAGAATATTTATCTTCCATGCTCATCGATAGTTTTGTATTTAGAGTAATGCTATAGTCACCGTAGTAATACACTGAATTTATGCACCGAATAACGTGTCAAAATCCTGACCGTTGATTAATATTAAGTTAAAATTAATCAACTAAAATTAATCAACGGTTAGGATTTTGTAACGTCATTCGATGCATGAATTCGGTGCACTACCGTCGGTAACTGTATTATTTTCCTTGTATTTAAACATGTATAATTTTCTATTCGAAAGTAGAGATGATGTCTTTTTTTTTTTTTTTTCCCTTTTCTTGTTCAGATCCATAAAAGAATAGATCCATATATTTTCACATTTTGAATTCAGATGGGAAAGTATGATAATAGTTTAACGTCAGCCATACCACGAGCCAATGTCACATGAATTTTTAATCTAACGACTTCCATTCAAATGACACAATTTTAGGCCTAGAAAGGAAGCATTTTGCAGAAACTTCTTGGTTGAAGCAGTTGGAACTGCCCTATATATTTTGACTTAAAACACATTCAGTCATTCATTCACCTCATGGTTCACATTCAACAACAAATATATAAAGAAAACAATCCCTTGGACTATATCACAAGGGCTGCCAAATGCATCAAAATATGTGTATTTGTCTAATTATAGGACGATTGCATGTGACGTTACCGTATTAATGTAATGTCATACGAATTAATAAGACGGTGATACAATTTAATCGATCAGATATACGTATGTAATGTTTACGGATTGATTGAATATATATACATATACATATATACATATACGTCTTGCTGTAATATTCTAGAAGATGATAATGCGCACCGTGTCTTATCATGAGATAAGTACAGACAATCTTAAAATGAAACAAAATAATTTAAAACGTTTTCAACGTGGTCCAAAACAATGGTCAAAGTCTATTCTTTTCACCAAACCCTTTCATGGCTGCCCTCTCTTGTCTTAACTTGGAAAACATCAAGGATAAAAAGGAGGAGGGAAGGAGAGAGGGTAAGCTGTGAAGTAAAGGAAGATGGAGCTGAAGAAGAAAGGGCAAATGATTTCGGGGAATCGAAATCCAATTCCAGTCCATAGCCAAGTGAAAAAGATCAAAGAGGAGGAGTGTTCTTCAGAGTCACCAGGAGGAGGAGGACAGCAGCCTGAGATGAGACCTGTTCTTAGACTCAGAGAGATCACCTCCATCTCCAAGCAGCTTTCAAGATCACCTCTTGGATTAGCCTCCACACCCATCTCTGTAGGCCACTACTAGTACTAGCTCATTCAACACATCAAAATAGAGTTTGGTATCATTCAGATTGTAAAAATTTCCATTATTTCATAAATTAGATTTTATTTTTTTTTTTGTATTTCTTCCACGGTGTCTAGACCTATTTACGCGTATCTGACCACTCTTTGAAGAAAATAGATTATTTTTATTTTATCAACCCAAGTCCTTCAATATAACTCTATTATATAAATATAAAATTAGTTATCATAATGATATACGTAATATTATTTTAGCAATATATTAGCCTAATAATCTTTGTTAATATGATAATTTTGTTAACATGATAACGAACCATTATTCATATAACCTTTTAAAAAGTAGAAAGCACCTGAACGTTATAAAATTAGTTATCATAATGAAATATACGTAATATTATTTTAGCAATATAGAATTTTAGCAATATAATTACCCTAATAATCTTTGTTAATATGATATTTTGTTAATACGATAACGAACCATTATTCATATAAACTTTTAAAATAAAGGCACATGAACTTATATAAATTAGGTTATCATAATGAAATATACGTAATATTATTTTAGCAATATAGATATTTTAGCAATATAATTAGCCTAATAATCTTTGTTAATATGATAATTTTGTTAATACGATAACGAACCATTATTCATATGACCTTTTAAAAAGTAGAAAGCACTTGAACGTGGATTTACATTTTTAACCTTCACTTTCAGGGTGCTAAGTGAACAACTTTCGAAATCGTGGAGGTGGTTTGGAAAGGAAAGATCGATACTTGACATAAGTTTGTAATTTTCAAAACCGTTAAGGTTGTTTATGAAATTTGTCAAAACATTTTTCTTTAATGCATTTGCAAATGACCATGCTTCGGAAAACCTACCAACAAAAACACTCTTCGTACATGGCTTTGAGATCCCCATTTCGTTTGCCTTCAATATCTCAAAACCTATCTCTGAAAGGTAATATTTCATCTTTGTTAGCTCACTTACGCAATCTCACAAATTCAAGCTCCAAAAATGAAGTTTTATATTCTTTCAAAAAACCCCTTGAACGATCCTCAGTTGCTAAATTCCTCAAAGAAAATTGTCGATCGGGTAACTTTACTCTGAATGAAGCATTGAACTTTTTTTATTACATGATTAATTCGCAGCCCATTTATCCAATGTCATCATTCAACATATTGTTTGGTGCACTAGCTAAGAAGAAGTATTATTATGAAATGATTTCGCTTTATAAGTGATTTAATTCAACTAGGTTGTCTCCAGATTTGATTTCTTTGAATATTTTGATGAATTGCTTCTGTAATATTGAAAGGGTATCGGATAGTTTTGCGGTTTTTTTGGGTGATTTTGAAGGGTTTTAGCCGAAATGTGGTGCCTTTTAATTGTTTGATCAAAGCTCTGTGCGTAGAGAGAAAGATTATGGAGTCGACGGAGTTGCTTAAGAAAATGGTTGTTGTTGGTTGTAGGCTTGATGTGATCATTTATGGGACTTTGATGGATGGATTTTCTAAAACAGGGAAGATAAGTGTTGCCATTAAGTTGCATAAAGAAATGGCTAAGGGAAATGAAGAATCTGGTGTTATTTGTAGGCCAGATGTTGTTACCTATAATACTATAATTGATGGTCTTTGTAAGGCTGGATTAATTGAGAAGGCTAGACAATTGTTTTTTGAAATGAAGAGTTCGGGAATTAGTCCAGACGTAGTCACTTATACCATTCTAATTCATGGTTTTTGTCATCTGGGCGATTGGGAGATTGTTAAAAGTTTATTTATATCCATGATGGATCAAGGTGTGCGGCCTTGTGTGGTGACATTTAGTGTGGTCATAGATTTTCGTTGCAAGAAAGGGAAATTGGACGAAGCAAATAGGTTGTTGCAACTTATGATTCAACAAGGTGTGGAACCTGACGCTTATATTTACAGCATTTTAATGAATGGTTATTTCTTGGCAGGTAGAATTGGTTATGCAAGGGAGTTGTTTGACTCTATAACTAGAGAGGGGTATAGAGCTGGTGTTGTATGCTACAGTACTTTAATCAAATGGTATTGCAAGAATAAAATAGTCAATAAAGCTCGTAGTCTTTATCGAGAGATGATTTCAGAAGGAATTAGGCCTAATGTGATTGTATATACCACTTTGATCAATAGGCTATGTAACAGTGGACAACTGGAAAACGCAAATGAGTTGTTGTCATATATGGAGGAAAAAAGTTGTGCTCCAGATGAGGTCACTTTTGGTATGCTGATGTTTGGTTTCCTAAAAAATAACGAGATACCAAAAGTTGTTGAACTCCTTCATAAAATGGCGGAGAGAAATTTGAAGCCGACTGAATTTATAATGTCCTTAGTCATGCAGTTACTTGTGAAGACCGAAAATTATCGTGAATGTTTGAACCAACTTCCTCAATTTTTGGTCCAAAAGTGAAATTGAAGTTTACTTGATAAAACTGAAAGATGGATGCATGGAGAATCAAGCATATCATGCTATAACAAGTATAGTCATAGTTTAAAAAAAAAAAATTCAATCAAATTGAAATAAGTAAGGTAGAACATGTTACCTTAAGTCCTTAGCAACCTTGGAGACTCTTAATTTCAAGAGAAATTAAGCAAAAGAGTATCCACACCAAGGGAAGAAGAGATTTGACCAAGAGGGAGATTTAGGGTTCTTAGAGATTTTTCNGGATAAAGATTCGGAAATTTTGCTGGATTAAAATTTCTAGTGGGGAATCAAATTCTTATCAAATTTCATAAACCTCACATAATAGAAATCTTGGTCTATTAAATTCAATAAGTAGGAAACTATTTCCTTTTATATCACCATATAAGCTATGATTCATTTTCTTGCCTCTAGTTTCAGATACCTCACATAATAGAAATCTTGGTACCCTACACTAGTTAAATCCGACCCATTATGCTTTCTTAAAATAGAATTCCTATTATACCCTCACATAATAGAAATCTTGGGTACAATGTGAATTTCTATCCAAGAACTAAGACAATCAATTCTAAGTCATAAATTAGCATCCCTCACATAATAGAAATCTTTGGATCTCTAATTTTATGGCAAAGAATTAATTTACTCATAATGGAAGGCATAGACTTAATATTTTAATTAGGGAAGATTTAAAGTTTAGGTTTTGTTTTTAGGTTAATGTTTTAATATCTACCCTATACATATCCACAATATGTATCAACTAACTATAAAACATAAACCCCCAAACTACAAACCTAAAACTAAATGACATGCCATAAAATTAAGTTTCAACACTTCATATAAATATTAAAACTTAACAATATACAATGGCATAATTAATATGCATAAAACATACAAGCATATTGCATGCTTCAATATAGCATTACTGAAAGAACAGCATGCATGCATGAAGAGTGGTGGAAATGGAGAAGAAAGCATAAAAAAAATTGGATTCAAAAAACCGGTTTTCAAACAAAGCTTGGATATGAGATTATACCTACTCCTTTGCTTTGGATTGATGAAGATTAGCTTCAAAAGGATGAAACCTCCACACTTTAACACCACCTTGAGAGGATTAGAGAGTGGCCTTGGCTAGGGAGAGAGAGCTTTTAGTTTGTGTTTGAGTGAACAAGTGAATAATGAACAAAAATGCAACCTTTTGCACTTATATATACTTGGGCTATTTTGCAATTATTTATTTTTCACTTCCAAGCCCAATAAAATCTTATTTTATAAAGGGACCCCACGAATTTAATATGCTNTGGATTTGATTGATATCTGCTCGCAATACTTACAGCATAAGCTATATCAGGCCTTGTACATAGTATTGCGTACATAAGACTACCCACAGATGAAGTGTAGGATATATTACGCATCCGCTGTCGCTCCTGATCAGTCTTAGGACTCATATCCTTAGAAAGATGTAGTCCATGACCGCAAGGCAAAAAACCTCTTTTGGAGTCTTGCATGTTGAACTTTTTCAACATTTTCTCTATATACATGCTCTGAGATAATCCTATCAATCCTTTCGCTCTATTTCTATAGATGCGAATTCCTAGGATGTAATTTGCTTCTCCCAAATCTTTCATTGAGAAAGCTTTTGACAACCACATCTTAACTTCAATCATCATGCCAATATCATTTCCCATTAATAATATGTCATCTACATATAATATGAGGAAAATCATGACATGATCTTTTACCCACTTGTATACACATGGTTCATCCGGATTCTTTATGAAACCAAAAGTTTTGATTGTTTCATCAAATCGGATATTCCAGCTTCTGGAAGCTTGCTTCAATCCATAAATAGATCTATGCAATTTGCACACTTTATGTCTCTCAGCATTGGATACAAAACCTTTAGGTTGTTGCATATATATGTTTTCCTCAATAAATCCATTGAGGAACGCAGTCTTGACATTCATTTGCCAAATTTCATAACTGCTATGGCTAGCATGATTATGATGGATTCAAGCATTACAACTGGTGAGAAAGTTTCCTCATAGTCCAACCCTTGTTTCTGAGTATAACCTTTCGCTACCAGTCTAGCCTTATAGGTCTCTACCTTTCCATCTGCGCCAACCTTTCTCTTGAAGACCCATTTACAACCAATAGGAACTATTCCTTCTGGAGGATCAACAAGTGTCCAAACTTGATTAGCGTACATGGATTCTATTTCAGAATTCATTGCTTCTAGCCATCTTCCAGAATCGATATCTAATATCGCCTATTCATAAGTTTTAGGATCATCTCCATGATCAACTTCTCCCACTGAAAAAGATTCAAAAACTTTTTCATGTAGAAAGCCATAATATCTCTCTGGAGGTCGAGATATTCTAGAAGATTTACGGGCTGGAATTGTGTCATGCGTTGAAGGTTCTTGGTCTGGTTCACTTATCTGAGTATGATCGATTTGAGACTCTTCAGAATATTCTTTGAGTTCAATTTTTCTTCCTGCACCTCCTTCTTCTAAGAATTCTTTCTCAAGGAAATGTGCATTTCTATTGATTGAAATTCTTTGATCAGTAGGGAAGTAAAAATAATACCCTAAACTTTCTTTAGGATATCCTATAAATCGACCTTTTTCAGATCTTACGTCCAACTTGTCTGTTTTAATAATCTTGAAATAAGCTGGACAACCCCAGACCTTTAAATAGTTAAGACTAGGTGGTTTGCCCTACCACACTTCATATGGTATTTTCTGGACTAATTTAGATGGTGCTCTATTTAAAATATGCACTGCTGTTTGTAAGGCATACCCCCACAAGTAAATCGGTAAGTCCGTAAAAGTCATCATTGATCGCACCATATCCAATAAAGTACGATTTCTCCTTTCAGATACACCATTGTGTTGTGGTGTAAATGGAGGAGTTAATTGTGATATAATCCCATTTTCTTTTAGAAAATCTCAAAATTCCGTACTCAAGTATTCACCTCCATGATCTGATCGTAGAATTTTAATACTCTTTCCAGTTTGTTTCTCTACTTCATTCTTGAATTCCTTGAACTTTTCAAAAGATTCTGATTTGTATTTCATTAAATACAAATACAAATACCCATACCTTGAATAATCATCAATAAAGGTAATGAAGTAGTGAAAAACTCCTCTGGCCATTTCATTAAATGGTCCACATACATCTGTATGTATTAGTTCCAGCGATTCTTTGGCCCTTTCCCCTTCACTCTTAAAGGGTGACTTGGTAATTTTTCCTTGAAGACAAGATTCACAGGTCGGATAAGGTTCTGAACCCAATGAACTTAAAAATCCACTTTCTCCTAACTGGTTTATTCTTCTGTCTCCTATATGACCTAATCTATGATGCCAAAGTAATTTAGGATTAATTTCATTTCGAGTTCGTTTATTAGTAATGGAATTCATTATGATATGCCCATTTAATTCCAACACATACAAACCATTTGTATTGATAGCTTTGCCAACAAGTTTATTTCAAAAATAAACTAAACATTCATTTCTATTGAACTGTACACTTTAACCATATTTACATAATACAGAAACAGAAATTATATTTTTAGTGGCTTTAGCAAAATACAGGACATTGTACAAATACAAAATGTGTCTNTATTAATTCCAACAATTCTTTGGCCCTTTCCCCTTTTCTTTTAAAGGGTGACTTTGTCATTTTTGCTTGAAGAAAAGATTCACAGGTCAGATAAGGTTACTAACCCAATGAACTTAAAAGTCCACTTTCTCCTAACTGGATTATTCTTCTGTCTCCTATATGACCTAATCTATGATGCCAAAGTAATTTATGATTAATTTCATTTCGAGTTCGTTTATTAGTAATGGAATTCATTATGCTATGCCCATTTAATTCTAGCACATACAAACCATTTGTATTGATAGTTTTGCCAACAAGTTTATTTCCAAAATAAACTAAATATTCATTTCTATTGAACTGTACATTGTAACCATATTTACATAATACAGAAACATAAATTATATTTCTAGTGGCTTTAGCAAAATATAGGACATCATACAAATACAAAAGGTGTCCTGATGGGAGCATCAAACTGCTTGTTCCCATGGCTTCGGCAACAACATTTGTTCCATTTGCCATTCTTAGCATGACTTGATCTTTTGCTAGAGCAGAACTATTCTGCAAATCCTGCAAACAAACACAAATATGTGAAGTAGCAGCTGAATCCAATATCCAGGTTGAATTATTTGAATTAACATTTAATTCAAATTTAATGACATAGCATTGGGACATACCTGATCTGGTTTTCTCAATGAGAAGAGCTTTAGCCTTCTTAAGACTTTTTAGATAAAGAGGACAATTCCTCTTCCAGTGCCCACTTTCTTTACACCAAAAGCATTGGCCTTTTTCTTTAGATTTATTGGCTTGAGGAGCAGCCTTGTTCTTAAATCCCTTTCCTTTGGGTTTTGTTCCCAATTTCTTTTGGGATTTTATTGGCTTTTTCTTTTTTGTCTTACTGGAAGAAGTATACTAACAACCTCTTGCCTTTTGCCTTTTCTTTCCTGATCATAAAACTGTTGAATCTCATTCAACAAATCATGAAGTTTTCTCTCAATCCTATTGAGATGATAATTATTGATGAAAGGTGTGAAACTTGGAGATAGAGATTGGAGAACCAAATCCACCTTGAGGGTATCCGACATTTCAATTCTCATGGCATGTAATTGCCCCAGAATGTTAATCATTTTCATGATATGTTCTTCTAGTGACACGCCTTTTTTCAACTTCATTCCGAATAAAGTTGAACTAAATTCATATTATCTTATCCTCGAATTCTAACTATACAACTCTTGTATTGTTTTATATCTTATGAGAAATGCTACAAGAAAATTAAAAACAAATTATGAGTGTTTTGTTATATATATCTTTTATTAAGCTAATCTAATTAGCTCCCACTATTTTATTCAAATCCTATACTTTCCTGGATAAAGATTCAAAAATTTTGCTGCA